GCAGCCTGTACCCAGCATGATTTGAGTCACAGTAGAAGGAAGAACCTGTAAGCAATTTAGTCTCAAATAATGTGCTCACCTGCCCTTGATTCCTGACACCTGAGAGAGAGAGAGTGTGTGTGTGTGTGTGTGTGTGTGTGTGTGTGTGTGTGTGTGTGTGTGTATACACATATACACTTATGTAAATACAATAGTCTTTTTTCAATTGAGGACTATGCTACAATGTACCAGACACTGAACAGCCAATCCTAATTCTCTGTTGTGACCTTACATTTCTGTGAGCCTTAGATTTCTCAGCTGCAAATTGAGGGACCTGGATGATCTATCCATAATCTCCCTTCCAGCCCTAAAAACCTGTGACTAATTGACAAATGAACTTCCATTTCAAAATACAAAATCCCCTACTCTATTATTAAATAAATCACTGTTATGTTGGACAGTATGACTGTACTTAATGAATCAACATGGTTTTGTCAAATATCTGTTGTAAGCAAGGCACCTTGTCCTCTTGTCACAAAGTGTTTGAGTTAAATGAGTCTGTGAGTTGCCCAGATAAAATTCTTGAAGCAAAAAAAAAAAAAAAAAAAAAAATTCTTGAAGCATCTATGGTCAGATATGAGTGAGTAGATTTCTATGGTCGGAAATGAGTGAGTAGATTTCTGACCCCCGGATAGTCAACGGAGGGGTTTGGCAGTGGTGAGAAACTCTAAGGTATGGGTCAGCTTCTGTGCTGTGGTGCACAGTTATGAATACTGCAACATGATAACTCTCACCCAGAAAACCCACCACGTAATCCAGGGCTAAATTTTCATCGTGTCCCAGGGTTCTAACTCAAGTTGACTCTACTTCAAAAGAAGGAAAGCTTGTTTGGCCAAAAACCCATGAAGCATCAGTTTCAAGAATGTGACATGCTGTTAAACCACAGCCGTGTAAGCTTGCGGCTGCTGAGACTTTCCAAAGACGAAAGTTTCACTTTTCAAAGGAAAACATGGCACCGTGAAGCTGTAGAGACATAAGGTGAATGGCGTTGATTGGCCCCAAGAAACATTCTCTCCCAAAGAACACCTCTTATGCGTGAGTGTGTTCCAGAGCAGGGCAGGGAGATATACAAGAATGGGCTGAATTTACAAGATTCCAGTGATGATACACAGTGCCTACCTGTGAGTAACTTTTCAGGAGATGGAGAGAGAGGACAGTTGGGCAGAGTCCAATGTCAGCGTGCAGCATCGTGGAGACTGGGGAGCACTGGGGAACATCTCAGAGCATTACCCCAGAAGCCAGGTCAAGGGGACGGTCAGCATGGCACAGCTGTGAGAGGTATGGGGGTGCGAGAGCAGACGCAGGACTCGGGAGCCACGAGCACCAGGTCACAGGGCAGGAGAGAGGTCTTCCAGCATCAGCATAGAGGTTTGGTGTCTCTCTGAGGACACACGTCAGACTCCACAGGTCCCACCTCATTTGACTCAGAGCTTCGGCGGAATGATCACCAAGGACTGCTGAATGCCTCTGAAAAAAGCTGTCAGGATGTCCCATCTCCCTAGATTGGAGTTCATCTGTATTTCAAAGTAAAATAAGAATCTGAGCAATTGAAGTGATACAGAATCAAGTCTCAGGCTCTAGTTGTCTCAGGTTTTCCCTACGTGGTCCTAACATTTCCTTTCTTCTTGCTTACCCTCCTCTGTCCTTCAGAGCAGGTCTGAACCTGAATTTACTATAGCAGTCCTTTCACTGTTGGAAGGAAGGTGGGGCCCCCACAACCTCTCTATAAACATTCCTGGTTCCTCACACAGTGCTTTTGTGAGGTGGCTTCTAGGCCTGGTGAGGGTCATCTGAACACGAACTAGTATGCCTATATATGTTGAAAAGTATAGGCCCCACTCCCAAAAAACAGAGCCATTTCTCAAGGATGGTGAAAGCAACATAGGCAGTACATGGACAAGGCTTGAAACTAGAGCTAGCTGACCTCAGATTCACAGCGGATGGTGGCTGCTTCTGAAACTAAAAGATGGTACAGATCAAAGATCAACCCAGCCAGGGTGACCCTCCCGGAGGGGCCTAACAGCCGCGACCAGGCCTGAGACTGAGGCTAAGCCACGGGTGATTGTGGCCTCTTGCTGTCTGGGGTAAAAGCAGGCCCTGGGCCAGAGTCTGTGGACCCTGGATTTCATGGACACTGGTGGGGAAACCACTGGGTGCTGAGCTTGGCATAGCAGGGAGAAGCCCGCCCCCTTGTGGACCTCTGGTGGGTGGCAGGATGCAAAAAGCACCCTGAAAGCTCCAAGATGAGGGTTCTGAGAGGAGCAGCCACTTCCTGTCTCTGCTCCCATTTCCCCAGTTGCCTGCAGTCTCCTGATCTGGACTGTCCCAGGACAGAGAGTGGTGGGGGGGGACACAAAGGGAAGTTAGGAGGTGGACACTCCTGGACCTAGCCATCTGTAAGAGAAAGAGAGAAATCAGGCAGGTGTTATTAGATGTTGGGAGAAAAAGAAAGAAGGAAAAGGCAGCAGGAGGTCCTTCCTGGTTCTGCCACTTCCTGGGTGGCCCCGGGCAAGTTACAGTCCCTCTCTGGGCCTTCTGGGGCTACGCTGATGAAGGCTACAATCCCGATGGATGTCCTGCTTTATGGACTAAACTGGAAGTCTTCACATGCCAGTCTTGACAGTAATCTGTCCTTGGTGGCACCATACCCCTGACTGAAGAAGGAATGGGAGGATGCCAGGGCAGGAGGTACATGAGGAAGGGGAAACAGAGGGCCAGCTGGCAGGTTCACCCAAGGCCCAGGAGGGCACAGCACTGTACCAGGCCCCTGGGAGCCCCAAAGAGTCCTTTCTTACAATGGTCTCCCTGCCTCCCCAACTTCGGCCAAGTCTACAACAGTGACCTCCTCCTCCTGAAACGCTTCTCCACTGGGTGACACATGGACGCTGATCCACAGGAGCCTGGGCTGTAAAACACACCTGCCCAGATCACGTGACCCACGCCCATCTAAAGCCACACGGCAGCCCACAAACACTGATCCTGCCTCACACTCACACACATGGAAACCACCTTTACTCAGCACTAAGCACGTTATCAAAGATTGTGTTTTTAATGTATTTTCGAGATGAATTTCTGTACTAGTCTGTAATCGATGAGTATAATTAGACTAATTGCTCTGGGAAATGCAAGCCAGAAGCACTTTCCTCCAAGCTCTCAGGATAAAAAATAAAGGCAGTTTTTAAAAATTAAATTATATGATAAAATGGCTCAAATTTCTTTCTGCACTATGCTCATAGAGACACACGGTCATGCAGTCACCTAAGACGGTGTTTTGAAACACTGACTGTCCTCTGGCAAAAAGAGAAGTATTAAAACACTTTAAAAATGACCTTGGATAAATTATCGGAAATAATGTCCTCAGGCTAGTGTGTTCCTAACTGGAATGATCCAGGGTGAATGTTATGGGGGGAAGGGTCAGTTTTGTACACCAAGGGACACTAAAGCTTTGACTGGAAAAAAAAAAACAACAAAACTGTAATTTCTCATTAAAAAAACAAAAAGGCATTATAAGGTTATTATAAGGTATTATAAATTATTCTGTAAATACCCCTTAAAATATCAGAGGATTCCAACTGAAGTTACAATCCAAGTTTCACCTAAAACACTAAAGTCAGGTAGAACATGTAACTCTTATTGTAGTCAGAATTCTTTTCAAACACCTATTTAGACCACCCAGTTTTTCTGCAGCGTTGCCAGATTCTAAAATTGTAATGAAAATTTTAAAGTCCAAAACCTACAAGCCATCAGAGGTTCAGTAAGCAGATTGTGCCATTTCAAAACTGAAAATGTGCTTGCATAAGCAAGTCACCAGGCTAACCTTTCTGGATTGAGAGTCTGGCCTTCAGTTCAGGACATGGCTATGCCAGGGTCAGAAATGTGACAAAATTGCGCTTTCGCGGAGGTTAGCCAAGGTTCACAGGGTCATGACTGGGCCATTTTATCAGTCATGTCAGGCTCACACCCTATTGCCTGGCATAGATAAAAACTTTATCTGTCAGTTTGCTAAATCTACTCTTCCTGCCTTATTTTCAATAAAGAAAACCTGGATTCGCTTATCTAAACCAAAGATTGGCCTTTTCCAATACTGTTTTCGTATGCAACTTCAGAGTAAAGGAAACAGGCCAGTGATTTGGGGTCTTAGTCAATAACTTTGTCTTACCTGAAACTTTAATTTCAGAAAACAGTTCTGGCACTATGTAATACCATATATTTATTATGTGTATTAAATGTACTGATTATGGTTGAAGGTGTTGTATTAGAAGAGGATCAACTCAAAGTGTTCTCTTTTCAAATTTAACTTTCTCTAAAGTAAAGCAAACCCCTTTTCATTTTTTAAATTAACTTTGATAGCTTTTCCAAATACAGAATATAAACTATCATGGAAAAATTTACTAAATTACCTTTGGACTAACTCACACACACATATAATATACATTTTCTAATAACTATTGAGAAAAAAACAGGTAAGGTTTCTTCTTCCCAGAAAATAGATAGGCACAGATGACAAAGTCATGCCTGTAGACATTAGAAATCTAGTTAAATATATGAATATAACACCGGTGAGTTTTTTCTCACAGGAATATTAAATGCAAGACGAGCACCTTCAGATTTTATTTTATTTGGAAACTATCCAAATTCATTATTTTAATATTTAAAGACTGTAGTACTGTAGAAGAGACACATAAATATTATAATATACATTTAGAAATTAAATATAATCAAATCAACATGACACTAGGTAAAAATGCCTCTGTACACTTCAAATAAGTCTGAGGTCTGGGCTTTCCAGCCCATCAGATTTCCCCCTGGAAACGGGTGAACCTGGCTGGGAGATCGTCCACAGGATACACAGTGGGACTCGTTTTCATTGTAGGAGGTCCATTTAGAAGCTGCCAGTCACAATGCCTGGCCAGCTCCACTGTAAATATTTTGAGAAGAATTTTTGCAAACTCTTTGCCTACACAGCTCCTAAGGCCTCCTCCAAATGGAATGAAGCTGAACCTGGATGCATCCTCTGGGTGAGGCAGCAGAAAGCGGTCAGGATTGAATTCCTCCTTGTTGCTGAAGATATCAGCGACATCATGAGTATCGCAGATACTGTAGATTACATTCCAGCCTTTGGGAATCTGGTATCCCTGCAAAAGATTATGATGTCCAAAGGGCTGACGAACTGAAATTCAGCTGTCAACAGGGAAGAAAAAAAATCTAACACATATATCCTTGGAGGAGTTATGAGTTGAAAGAAAAGGAAGAAAGAGAGGTGGAGAGAGAAAAAAACAGACATTTAGGGGCAGGGCAATGTCATCAAAAGAAATTTAAGTCAAAGCACAGGAAACAAAGGGAGATTTGAAACTACTACGCAAAAGGTAGGGGCGGGTGAGAGAGAACTTTTAACTTACATTTAATTCAAAAGTCTTAAGGGCAACCCGAAACCCTCCTGGAACTGGGGGGTTCAGTCGAAGGGTCTCTTTAATAACACACCCAATGTACTTAAGCTGTTCCAAAATTTCCACGTCCAACTTGTTGTCTTGATTGCCTTTGCAAAGTAAACCCTATCAAAACAGTCACACAGAGCGAACGGTTATTCTGCGCTCCAATAAAATCAGTCCAGCAGACGTAAACAGGGCTTAAGTGGCGGCTGGACCCAAAGAGCCTCGTGATCCCAGAGCATGAGGGGGAAACAAGGAGCAGCTAGTGACCATTTGCCTCCAGCCCTGGACCCAAACCATTGTTTACAATTCCAAGATAATGCAGCTCACCAGTTAGAACAGCCAAGTTTCTCCCCTCCCCCAGTCCCCACCAAGGCTGCTGGCTGCCACCGCAACCCCCTAGGGGTTCCCCATTCATGCCCTTGAACACACAGATCCAAGAAAGTCTGAAAATATCCAAGGATCCACCAAAAGTGGAGAAGAAACACAAGGTTGAACCCTGCCAGAGTGGGATCACAGCCCAAGGTTCCCTCCTTATTCACACAGCTAATTCTCTTTCCCATCATCCAACCCACCCACCCTTGGCCCTGTACTTCCCAGATACTCAAGGTAGACAGCACACTTAACTATTGGGAACTTGGCTAGAGAGCTGCTGAGGTTTTTCAGCTAATAGCCACCACCACCCCCTCCCCAACTCATGCGAACACCCCACCCCCACCGCCAGATCCCCTACCTTATTCTTCAGCTCTTCTCGAACTTTCTGGAGAACATGTGGGTAGAGCCCCAAGTAAGTGATCAGAGACGTAGCTGCACTGGCCGTGGTTTCATGCCCTCCAAAGAGGAGTTCTGTTGAAGATTGCTTTAATGCCTACAAGTGGATTAAGACCAACGTTTTGACAAGTCTGCATGCAATTTTACAGAGCAACCACTCAGAATAGAACTGAGGATTCAGGAGGGAAGACGAGAAGGGCTGAAAGTTGGCTGACAGAAAATCCATTTAAACAAAATGCTAAAAAAATAAACAAAATGCTAAGGCCCTTTAGTTCAGCTAGAGCACGGAAGTCCAGTAAGTTCCCACTCTCCTTGGAACTCTTAAAGCGTTAGCTGTATTAAAGTCACCCAACATTACTCACATCTTGCAAATTCCAACTTTCCCTTTAAAACCTGAAAGGGATGGGCAACAAGGCCTCTCCCCAGAGCTCTGCAGACCCGGTATCTCAACCTCTGGATCCAGTCCCTGGGGTCTGGGAGGGCTTCTCACTTTGGGAACCCGGGCCCCTCTGCGCGCACTTTGGAGACCCTAGGACCTGCTTTTGGTAAGCCAGGGGATCAAACTTCGCCGTGCCGCTCCTGAAGCTGCGGCTCACCTGCATGTCCAGCTTCTCTCCTCTCTCCCACGAGTGCTCGATCAACAGCTGCAGGGCATCTTTGCAGCCCCCGCCCGCCTCCGCCGCCCGCAGCCTGCGGATCTTGGCGCGAATGTTCTCCTCGATGCGCGCGTGGATGAGGTCGCGCGCCTTCAGGCCCTGAGCGCAGAGAGCGCACCGCGGTGAGCAGAAGTCCGGATCCCGTGACCCCGAAGCCCTACCTCCGAACCCTACAAGGCGCCCTTACCCGGTACAGTCCGCTGAAGGGCACATCTATGGGCAACGAGAAGAGATTGCGGGTCATTTCCTCGAAGGCCTCTACCAGCTGCTGCTCGTCTTCCCCGCCGCTCGCCACTCGGGACTCGCAGCCCAGCAGGATGCGCATGGCGATGCGGAACATAAGGCGCTTCACCTGGGGATAGACCAGGAGGCCGCGCTCGCCGCAGCTCAGCCATTGCTCCAAGTAGTTGCCCACTTCCTCGGCGATCACTGGCACGTAGCACTGAAGGGCCTCGCGGCTGAAGGCCTGCATAATCACCTGAACTCCGAGGAGGGGAAGAGTGTTAAAGCCGGGCTCCACCCGCCCCTCTTGCCTTCCAGGGTCTCCTTCCAGACATCTACAACCTCACCAGATCCAAAGCACTTCCTGGTTGGGAAAGTTACACTGGGTTTGAGAGGGTCCCAGCGATGCCTTATGCAGCTGGCTCCCGCCCAGCACCTATCTGCCCGAACCCCTTACTCGAATCGGGTCCCACTTCCTGTCCAGGCGCTGCCACCCCTCCCTCACCTTCTTGCGCTGCTTGTGCGAGGAGTCGTGCAGGTTAGAGAGGCACCCAGAACCCAGGATGGTGCGCACTGACGCGGGCCAGTGGACCGACACCAGCCGGTGCTCTCCGAGCAAAATGCGCCGCACGTTGTCCGCTCCCATCACCCGCACCGTGGGCCGCCCGAACAGATGCGTCTTGTAGATGAAGCCGTATTTCCTGCGCTTCATCTGCAGGAACTTCCTTCGCTGCGAGAGGAAAGCGGAGGAGAGAGGCGGGCGTGAGGGGGCGCCGGGGAGCGCTGAGCCTCCCTCCGGTCCTGATCCTAGCCCCCGTCGCCTCCCTCCCGGGTGGGGGGGGCGGGGAGCTTCAGTGGAAGTCTGGAGCCGAGTCGGGCTCGGGAGAATCGTCCAATCCCGCCCCAAGCTCCTTTACCTGTAGCACCATCTGCAGTGTTTCCCCAAAGAAGGGGAAGCCCATCGTTCCGGGAGGCAAAGGGAGGGCAGAGCTGCGGTCCCGGCTGCTCACGCAGTACAAGTCCCAGAGCTTGATCGCGGCCAGGAAGAGCAGCAGCGGTAGCACGAAGGTGCAGAGAGCACTGGCCAGCAGTGCCGGGAGCCCCATGGCGCGCCGCGACCTCCCGCGCCACCTGCCGCCACCCTCAGCGCTCTGGATCCCGCCGCGCGCCCGCTTTATAGGCGGCCCAGGTTGCTGCCCACGTTACCTTAGACAAATTAGTTCACCCAAAGTTCATCTTTAATTGCGGATTGGGCCCCTGGCTCCTCCCCCCGCGAGGCGCTGCCCAAATCTTTAACCGTTTGTTCCGCGCCGAGGCAGAGGCGGCGCCGTGGCGGCTTCTCTCGGAGCGCGCCTCCTGGGGCGCCCGGCTAGGAGCAGCCTGCTGCCCCCATTCAAAGTGTGCGGGGCTCCCGGACGGCGGCAGGGACTCCGGCGAGCGGAAACTCCACGCCCCGGGCTCCTTGGCTGTCTCTTCGGAATGCCTCCCGCCGGGCCCGACGGGCGGTCCAGCCCAGAGCTGCTTGCACCCGCTTTCTGTTTTACAGGGCCCCATTCCACCTGCAGAGGAAGTAAAGGGGGGTGCGTTCAGGGGTCTTCAGCTGCCTTGTCCCACAGGTGGGGAAACTGAGGTCCAGAACGCAGAGCAAAACGCAGGCCTCCTGACTTCCAGAGACCCCACAGAAGAGCCCAGGGCCAGGACCCAACTGAGAGTTGCGGGGAGTCACGACCAGCCGACCACTAATTCCCAGCTCCCCAAACCCCTCGAGGCTCACACTCATGAAATCTTGGAAGGTCCTACTTAAAGGTACAAGAGAGCCCCCAGATCCTCAGGATTCCTGGTGCAACCCTGCTTAAGTCTGAGCCCTGACTCTTGACTCCCTAGCCCGGGACCGCAGGGGCAATTCATCTGCGGCTCAGCGGCAAACAGCGCTCTGCAATCCGGCCAAAGTCGGCTTCCGAGGGCCCTGGGGTTAGCAGCTCCAGCTAGGCAGAAAGGAAGAGGGTCCTTAATCCTGGCAGGATAAAGACACTGAGATGCAGGAGGATGGATGGAAAGCTCAGAGTTTGGGCTCTGAGTCCCGGATCCATCTCTACTTGAATGATCTTGGGCAAGTCACCACACATCCTTGAGCCCGTTTCCTCCTCCTTGATGTGGAGGTGATCCTTCCTGACCAGTCTACACGTCCGGATTGTTGTGAGTTTCCAAAAGGGGCTTGTGGTTGCAAATACTCTCCCCAGTCCCAGGCACGCTAGGGTACCTTACCGGGGTGACCTGGGCTCTCCAGCTCCCACCCGGAAGAAATCCACCCAGCAGAGAGGGAGTGCTGGGTCCTAAACCCAGGCCTCTGCCGGCCGCTGATTAAGAGTGTTGAGAGAATCGTCACTGGGAAGTGGGTCTTCTGGCCATTGCCCCCCTATACGATTGGCTGCTCCTGCAGCCACAGCCTGGGGCTCGGACACTGCGGGAAGCGCACGTGCGCTCCCCGTTTCCAACCCGGTCGAGCCAGTGGGACAGGGTCCGAACTGCCTCGGACCAGTCAGGGCCACTCGCTCCCTCGGTTTCAACGCTGAACCCACCAGTCGCGCAGAAAACGAAACAATGATGTATAAGTTTGTTTAAAACCGAAGACCGGCTCTCACAGGAGCGAGCCTCATGCCTTGGAAAGCGTCCCTTGGAGATGGAAAACACTTTGATCCTGAGAGCTGTTTAGTTAAATACGCGACCTTCCCGCAGTGGTCCCCCAACCCGGCGGGTCGGGCAATGTCTGCGGAGTCGCCGGGACCTCACGCTCGCAGAAACTTTCCACGCCTGTTTAGCCGCAGGATGTCTTTCGGAGAATCGGCGGCTCACCATAACCCTACATTGGTGTTTCAGAGGCTCCAGGGAAGAGTCTGTCCCACAATCGTTTCTTCAAATGAACTGACAACTGTAAACAGTGACAGACCACTTGGGGCACCAGCTGGAACCGGGGCGAGACGCACTGGAGGTAATTCTCAGAAACCCCAGGCCCGCCCCTTTCTGGTCGGTGCCTCCGGCCGGTGAGCAAAGCAGGCCAGCGGGGGCGTGACCTGGGGCCCAGTCCCAGTCCTCCGGCCTGACCCGCCTGTGACCCCTGCGGGCCGGACCGTGACATCTGAGTGAACTCTGCAGGGCCATCTCGCCAAGTTCAGCGCGCGCCGGGTCACAAGATGAGCGGGGCCTGCCCGCTGGAAATCGCCACAAAGGGGAAAAATCTTTTACTCTATCTGCCATCCAGCCCCGCTTGGGCGACAGGGGGAAAGGATTAAATGGGATAGTGAAGAGCACTAAAGAGCATCTTCAAGAGGGGAAGGGTCAGTAAATGACCAACCCAATAAGAACTTTGATCTAGAAACCTTGCCAGGCTTTCTTGGGTGCTGGTGGGTAGGGAGAGGGCTTGGTTCGCTGGAAAACAAAATAATGTTTCTAAGATGTTTACAAAACAAACGTGCGAAGGACTGGCAGGGGTGGGGAGTAGCTCTTTGCTGGGCAGGGAGGTGAGCTCCTGACTGGGGTCAGCTGAAGCACCCTCCCCCACTTTTCTCCCCTCAACACTTTCTTCCCTTGTCTTGAGCACTGATTCCCACCTTCGATTCTAAACCTGCTGTACTCTCTGCTTGAGGCTCTTCTATCCCCGGACACCCCTGGCTGGTTCCTTCCAAAGTCGAATGCCACTCTTTCCGGGCCCCAGCCGGCCCAGCAGAGCTGCCAGGCACCTATACGACAAGCCTGCTTTACTCTCTCCAAACAGCTCTACCATCATCAGAATTATTCTTGCTCGTTTGTTAGTTTATTTACTGTCTTTTTCTTTTGAGAGCATACCACGTCCAAGAGGGTAAGAATCGCATCTGCTCCTTCCTCAGAGAATCAGGAGAAGCAAAAGCTCTGATTTTCCTTGAAATGATGAGTCGATGTATCACTGGGAAGTCACAATAAAACTGAAGCTGCCCTTTCAGAGGCTTATAGTTTAGTACAGGCTCCACAGCACGTAAACCAGGTCTCTTGGAACCTGGGAAGTTCAGGCTTATGAGAACCCTTGCCCCATCTATCTCTCCTCAAATCAGAATCAACCCCAAGCCCTGGTCTTCCCACCACCTCACCCTAGTGGAGCTTCTGGGCTGAGATGTCTCTGCAGTGTCAGGAGCACCCTGAGGGCAGGCCTCAGATCTACCACTTTCACCGGCTCTGTGGCTCTGGCGCCTGCCTGCAGATCCTGTGGCGCCAGGGCCTGTGGTCAGCGGTGGGTGATGAATTGTTGCAGATGGGGGTTAGGACTGTCAGTTGAGCTCAGAAGGGCCTGCTGTGCTCCTGCTCTTGAGCAATGGGCCCTGCCTAAGCCTGATGCTTCCCCTTCCCTTCTGGCCCCAGGATCCACCTTAAGCCTAAGGTCAGGAGGGCACTTTCTGGTTCCTTCTGGTTCACTAAAGGGTCAGCTCAGGACTTGGCAGCAACTTCTCTGGAAGTTGCTCACCCATCACGTTCAACTGCCCCCAGCCTGTCCAAAGGGGGCCAGCAGGTTACAGTGGGCTGTTAGGGGAAAAAGAGGCTCTTGGTTTAGATTTAAGCACTGTTGGGAACTTTTGTGTTGGAAAGGTCCAGAGCGTCCTTAGGCCAACCTAGGGATCACTATGAAAGGATAAAAGGCCAAGAGCTACATGGTGGCCACAGGCCAGAGACTGGAGCAGGGGGTAAGGGATGGGGTGAAGGAGAGCACTGGCTGAGTGGTCTAGTCTCTGGCCTCAGTCTCTCCTTGTAATGGAGGAGGTTGAAGCAGTAAACCAGGGCATCCCTGCAGTCAGCTATCATCTTGGAGATAATCTGTAGCTCAGTTCCCAGGGGCTATGCTCAAGCAAGGTTCCAGCAGCCTGGGCCCCAGGCTGTCCAGTTCCTAGCCCCTCTCTGGGTATATGAAGGGCAGGCCCTTCCGGGGAGGAGGTCTTTCTTGAGTCTCTGCCACCTCCATCCCACTTTCCCACAGAGGAGCAGCTGCCCAGCTAAGCTGCAGCCTCCTCACTCAACCACTGCCAGGAAACGATTTCTCAGCCTTCCTGTTTTGGGTACAAATACCCCAAACCTCTCTGATTATGTCTCAACCTCCCATGAAAATAATCCAGCCTTAGAATCCTCCTGGTGTACCTATTCTCTCCTGTATAAATGGAAAGATTATATGCGTTCTTGAACTAGGAATTTTTCTTTTAAGAAATCGCCAGTAGAATCCGGTGCTGTTGATCCTGTTTAGAGCCCTGAAAGCGCCCGCAATTCTGGGTTTCTGCCGAGACAGGCAGAGTGGCCAGGGCGCACCTAAAGGAGGCCAGCTGCCTGAGGGCCTTCCGTTGGGCGCCTTCTCAGTGTCTTCCTATGGCCCAAAGCCAGGCCAGAGATGCGCTCCTGGCATCCCCGCTTCCTCGCGACAGTTGCAGGTCCTCCCTCATTCGACGGCCCAATCCACCCCACCTCCCCTCGACCCATGCCTCCTCCCCCGTTTGAATCCTAGGGGAAATGTTCCCACCATCCCTGCTTTGAAATCCTGGGAAGGGCGTAAGAGACTTGGCCCACCACCTTTCCTCTCTAAGGGTGCGAAGTACTGGAGGCACCGTCCCACCAGCCAGGACGCTTCTCCAAGTGCAGTGGCGGTGGCTCCATGAGTCTCCTCCCTCAGAGTCGGACACAGAGCCGCGTTCAGTAACCTTTTGGTGAATGAGAGCGCGCCGGATCCGGCACTGGAGAACGGCAGATGGGCGGCGCCGCAAGCGCGCCGCGGCCGCTGGCCAAGCCAGGTTCCACGGCGCAGCAGGTCAGAGGCGTTGCCCATCCTGCGCCGCCGGAGACGCAAGAGGGTGGAAAAAGAGCCGTAGCCCGTCCACCGGGTGCACGATGGGCACTGTCTGCATGGCGGGGAAGGCAGGCGTGGCCAGTTCCCAGCGCGCCGTGCGCACCAGCTCCACCGCGAGCAGCTGGAGCACGGTCTGCGCCAGCTCCTGGCCAAGACAGCTGCGCGCACCGCCGCCGAACGGGATGTAATGAAAGCGGCCGGCGGCGCCCCGCGCATCGTCGCCCGCAGTGCCGAAGCGCTCTGGGTCGAAGC